ATTTTTAATTTTTTGAGAGAACTCCATACTGTTTTCCATAATGGCTATGCCAATTTATTTCCCACCAACTGTATACCAGGTTTTTCTTTTCTTTTAGTTCTTACCAACACTTGTTTCCTTTTGTGTTTTTGATAATAGCCATTCTAACAGGTGTAAGGTGATATCTCACTGTTTTTAATGTGCATTTTCCTGATGATTAGCAATGTTAAACATATTTCATACTTTTTTATTATAAAGATGTGGGGTACAATTCAGGGTTAGGTATACAAACGTTGATTATGCAAGTACCCTTGTTGATGAAGTATGCCCCTCCCCCCAAGCAGTTTCCCTCAACTGCAAATCTCACCCCACCCTGACAGTTTCCCTCTACTGTCAATCCCTTTCTTATAGTATTATAATTGTTCAAGGTCCACTCACGAGTGAGAATATATGGTACTCTGTTCTTTGTTTCTGTGATAGATCACCGGGTTGGAGTCCCACTGTATCACCCAGGCTGGAGTACAATGGCACACTCACTGCAACCCCAGTGTGGTCGACCTTCCAGGCTCTGGTAATCCTTCTGCCTCAGCCTTCCAACTAGCCAAAACTACAGGTGCACGCTACCATGCCCGGCTAATTTTTTAATTTTTTGTAGAGACAAGTTCTCACCATGTTGTCCAGGCTGATCTCAAACTCTTGGGCTCCAGCAATCCTCTCACCTCGGCCTCCCAATGTGCTGGGATTACAGGCTTAAGCTACCGCCTGGCCTATTTCATAATTGGTGTGTCTTCTTTAAAAAAAAGTCTATTCAGGGCTTTTAGCCGTTTTTAATTGGGTTATTTGTTTTCATATTCAGCAGATATTTATTAAATATTTACTGTGGTCAGCACTATGCTAAGCTCTAGGAATTCAAACATACTAGCACACGAGGGGCTTTTTAATATGGCCTGGTTGAGGAGAAGTTCAGGGAATGGACCCTGGAAAAGGAGGCTCCTGAGCTATGTTTTAGATGATGTTTATGAGATAACCAGGCAAAGACATGTTGAGAGGAGACATCAGGGAGAGGAGAGGAGATGAGACAGTAGGAGTAAAGGCAATAGAGTGTGACAGGTGTGGGTGGGAAGCTCTGTCACTCTGGTGTTGGAGTAGCATCAAGTGTGAGACTGAAGATGAGAGCTGGAGAGATCACCAAGGCCAGAGGGGAGAGGGCAGCTTACTAAAAGTTATGGAACTTGGATGTTGTGCTGCAAGTGATGAAGATACAGCAGAAGAGCATAAGTCAGAGAGGAATGTGGCCCTTTGGAAAGAATAACCTCCGATCTTGTGAAGGACAGTGCTGCGGACTCAAATTGGAGTCAGGAAAATAAGTTAAGAAACAGTTTCTATGTGCTGGCAAGAGATGGAGAAGACTTGAATTAGGATGACTGTAAAAGGATGAAATGGGGGCGTGGTAGCTGTCGCCTCTAATCCTAGCATTTTGAGAGGTGGAGGCGAGAGGATTGCCTGAGCCTAAGGGGTTGAGACCAGCCTGGGCAACAGGGTGACACCCCACCTCTACAATACATTTTTTAAAAGGATGGAATGGAAGAGACTGATTTGAGTCTGATTTGGGAGATGAACTTGGCAGGTTTAGGTGGTCATTTAGATTTGAGAAGTAAAGGAAAGGGAAGAGACAAGAAAGCCCTCCAAGTGGATGTTCAGGCCATCATCAAAAGACGGGGACTAGAGAAGAAAGGCCTGGTTTAAAGGAAGGCAATGAACTCATTTTAGACATACTGAGTTTGAGATATGTCTGGCTCAGTCAGGAGATGCCGAGCAGTAGCCAAAAATGTGCTTGAAGCTTGGTGGGGATGAGGAGAGGGCCTGGACTAGAAGTATAAAATTTGTGGTCATAAACTGGAAGGCAGCGGTAGAAATCATGACTGTGGTGTGAGCTGGACAGTGAGCTGGACCAGCTCCCTGGGAAACACCAACACAGAAGGAGCTGGTGGAGTGAAGGAAGAGGAGCTCACAGAGAGACTGAGCAGGGCAGTCAGAGCATGCTGAGAGGATAAGCCCTACTCACACATGGCTTCCTCGGGGTCAGCCTCCCTGACCTCCTCCTGGCCCCAGGTCTGAAATCCACTGTTTGTCCTTCACAGAAAAGACCATAATTACAAATTAACACCAGGTTTGTTATTGTTTAATATCCATCTTCCCTGCTAGAATATACACTCCATAAGGACAAGGATTGTATCTCTCTTCTTCTTCAGGTAATCCCCAGGGCCTAGCAGGTGCCTGGCAAGTAGTAGTTGCTCAGTAAGTATATGTGGAATTAAGGAATAATGTTCCAGACTCTCAAGGAGTAGAGAGATTTAAAGAATGTCACTTTTTATAATAAAGTCATCTAATCAGAGAAGAAAATATGCTTATTTTTACATTTTTAATTTTTCCTGCCAAAAAAATTAAATGTGTCAGATTTTTAAAAGTCATTGAACAATTCTCTCCCACTTCTCTTGTATATGGTATGAGGCCTCCAAATACTTGGATAGTGGAGAAAGGCAGGCAAACAGCAGACTTAGTAAGTATAGTTTGTAATATTGTATAGCTAAGTGGTGGCACTTATTGCTTTCCAAAGTTCCAACGAGTCTTAGGGTGAGGGACAGATGGCCAAGCTGCTTCATGAAACTGTATCTTGTTATTCAACCAGGGGTACAAATTATGATGTGAATGGGGTTACAGTGTAGACCTTCTTTTGGCAACACTTTTGTGGAAAGTTTGATAAGAAAATGTAGATATTGAATTAAGATATTACATGGTTTTTATAGGCAAATCTTCATGCACATATATTACATGTAATTATTTATTAAAATGCTAACAATTCATCAAACTCCTATATCGAATACTAAATCTCTTACAAATAAATTTAAATGCTTATATCGATATTTCTGAGAGGCTTTATCTGTGAGCATTGAGGCTAATGCAGGAAAAAGAGTCCAGCTGCTAAAAAGCTGGTTTCCAGGGCAGAATGCACATTTCGGAGATCTGAGCCTTTGTGTTCTCCTTCTTTTCCACCTTTGCCTCACTCCATACCCATTTGAGCCTTAGGTTTGAGACTTTTGTAGAAAGGAATTAAAACCTCTAACTCAACAATGGTGTCTCAAGTGAAAACACCTGTGGAGATAGAGCACAAGAACCCATACGTACACCAAGTTTTAAACATATCTGCTCTTTTTCTGAGAAATGTTCTAATGGGAAGAAAGAGAAACAAAAGGACGAGGGGAGAGAAATATTAAAGAGGGAATGTGAGAGTGTGCAAAGCAGATACTTTTTCTTTGTAGACAGGCACACTAGTTAAGTGTTCAGGCAGCAGCGCCGCCTCTTACTACATGTTAAATACATCCATGTAGCAGCCTGGGCTTCAATTTTCTCATTTGCAAATATGGATCTCAATAGTACTTATCTCATGGTGGTGTTTAGAGTGTTAATCAACTAATATGTGTAAAGCACTTGGAAAAATGCCTGGCAAATAGTAAGTACTCTAAAAGTATTAACATCTACTAGTTCTAATTTTAGCCCAGGCTGGAGAGTTTTGTACAGTTTCATGGCATCCATTTCCCAGATCGCCCTCTCCTTTGGGAATAGTTTGCTATGGCCTGAATGTTTATGTTCCTCTAAAAATGCATATCCTGAAATTTTAATCAGAAGGTGATGGTATGAGGAGGTGGAATCTTCCAGAGGTAATTAGGTCAGAGGGCAGAGCCTTCACAAGTGACATTGGTACCCTTCTGCAAGGGCCTGAGGGCCTGAGGGAGCTTGTTTGCCCCTTCCACCATGTGAGAAGGCACCATCTGTAAACAAGGAAACTAGCTCTTATCAGTCACTAGGCACTCTGATAGCACCTAAATTTTAGGCTTCAGCCTCCAGGGATGAGAAATAACTTCTCTTGTTTCAAAGCTACCCAATTTGTGGTATTTTGTTGTAGCAGCCCCAACAGACTAAGACATGGTTCCAATGCAGACCTTCAATGACTGACTCAGGTTTGTTCTTCCTTCCCTCTACAGTTCCTGATAGTTGGAGGTCATTTACTCTGAGGAGGTGAGTTTGTTTTTGTTTTATCCTCCGTGTCTGGCCTACTCTTCTTTTCCTGAGTACTTTTATGCCCTGGTTAAATCATTGAACAGCACCAACAACATTAACTATGTCAGGAGCATTTTTCTGAGAGATTTGCTTACCCCTCACAATTAGTTGCCCATGGAAACAAGCTGGTGATGTCACAAGGAATCCACTTCTGGCTCTTCCTCAGTTCCCTTCTGTCAAAAGTAGGGCAGGGCCCAGTCCTGTCCCTGCCCTCTGCCCAACTCAACCATGTCTCATCCCTTCCATGGCAAAGCATGGAGCCTTACCCGCTCCCAGCAATGTCTAAACTCAGGTATGTTGGCGTTGTGGTCATACATCTTTTTCTATGCTTCTTCTTTACCAGGGCACAGAAATGCCTACACAATTGGAGTGTCTGGAACAGCCCTGGGTAACCCTTGAGTCTCAGGATATAGATAAAAAACTAAAAAAAAAAAACAACAACAGCAACAACCAAAAGAAAACAAGAGACCAGCAACTGCTAGGGCTGCTTCCTAGGAGATCAAAGGTTGTTTCAGACTTTACAGAACCTTTGAAACCTCGGGAGCAAGATTATAAAACACTTTTTCTTTCTACTTACAGAGGTTCATGCCCTAAACACACCCACTGTCTCCCCATTCTAGCTTATCAACTTGCTCCTCATTCTCTCAAGGAATATTGTTGCAACTTCCGTATTATGCCCAAAAGAAAAAAAAGAAAAACAGAAAAAGAAAGGAAAATATGACCATGACAGCGTTTCAGTAGATTCTGCTGGTATTTTGTAATACTATTTAACCTCACCTCTGCCCCAGAATGTTAGTGCAAATACTGAAAAATGCAGCTTTGCATTGCTACCTGCCCTTCTCAGAATCTGAATGTTGAAATTTACATAAGTCTGCAGATTATCTATCATGATCTAAATGCAGGTATCTGAAAACCAGCAGTAATCCTGTCTCCGAAGTTTATCAGGAAAGAAGCTTAAGAGAGAACAAAATTCAGCCAGTGTTGGAACTCTCAATCACAGAGGGGTGTGGTTTACAGCTCTCCGGCCTGCTGTGGGACTTCAGCTGTGACCTACAGAAAGACACTGAAAGGAAACCACCCAAGACATTCACCCTGCCCTGGTCGGCGCTAGCCATGACGAAGACTTCTACATGCATATACCACTTCCTTGTTTTGAGCTGGTATATTTTTCTTGATCATTACATCTCACAACAAGGAAAGGACAAGGAGAAACCAAAAATCTTTGAAAATGGTGGAAAGTGGAAGTATTTAACACTCCTTAATCTGGTAAGTCCGTATAGCCATACCAGGAAGCAGGCTATTTCTCTATAATATTAGTGCTTCTACACATATCACCTTGGATTGTATTTAATACAAAATTTCATTTATTGTCTTCCTTCTTCACTGTTTGTGAGTTTGGGCTTTCTATTTTCCTTAACAATTTGCCCTGAGAAACTCAATTTGAATGCGATCTGTAGCTGTATTTTCATACCGGCTCTCTGTTAAATACTCTCTTGAAAAAAAAAAAGACTCATCTTGGAACTCTTCTTAAGTGAGTTCAAATGGGGGACCAAGCTAATGATTTTACCACGGGACTGACTACAAATGCAGGAGGGATTTTGAACTTTGCTTGGGGAAGTCTGAAGAGAAGGCTGAGCGGCGTATGTTGTGTAGGAAGTGTAATTTCCAATGAAGGAGTGATGCCATTTTGCAGCACACACAGACTAACAGATTTATCTAAGAAAAGCAAACACATTTTGCCACGTTCAGCTCCCACTTTAATTTTTTATAGGCTCAGGCTCCATCTTAAAGGACAAATCACCCAACCGAATGACAAATACACATTTTCAACTGTTTAAAAAACAACCTATGACTTTCTCCCTTTTTGTCTTCCTAACCTGGCTGACCACATTTTGAAGAAGTGTGAATGAATGGAGGAAAAACAGATTACAAAAAAAATTGGCTAATATGTGAAAAGTATTTTTAAAGTTAAAAGCTAAAAATGGAGAATCATTTGGGGATGTGAATTAATGTTTGAGGTTTTTAACTAAAATATAGAGTGCCACACAGACATATGATTTCAGAAATGACAAAACTGTCTAATCTTTTGGAATCATAACCCTCATTTGGCAAGCAGAGAATATGCGTGGTCAGAATGTGTGATATTCTGAAATGTGTAGGAGATGGAACTTGACAGGGTTCAAATTAAAGAAACCTAGATTTGACACTGCTTTCTCCTCACTGGGCAGTGGCTGGTCTCTTGAATTTTGACCTGAAAAATTGGGGCATTCCAGTGTGCTTAATATTTCAAGGTGACTTTATTTCAATCATAGTCTTGTGAATAAAAAAGGAAAAAACAAAATTAATTTTAAAGAACTGAGTACTAAAAGTAAAACAAAAAACTCAAGTTTGTCTTTATATAGGCTTTATGTTAAAACAATCAACTGAAAGAGAGGGGGTGTCTATAGCCAGGATTGATGTTCTAACCAAATTCAAAGTCCAATGCAGATGATGTTCTACCTCACACGGAGTATGGCTAAGAATAGATGTATCACCACTCACATAAACCAGCTCTCTGGCCCTGAATTTGTGTGTGTGTGTGTGTGTGTATGTGTGTGTGTGTGTGTGTGTGTAAAACAGATCCTAACTTTTTTATTCCAGCTCACTTACATTCCCAAGAGCCCTCATTTTCCAAGGGCAAAGACACTTATCTTATCAATGACACATCTCATTGTTGCTTCCCTGAATAACCAACCACCAAATCTTATTAGTTTTCCCTTTTCTAGGTTCATCCCTTCTTCCCTAACCTTATTGTCTCTCTCATTCCAGACTTCCTTCATTTGTACCTAGATGACCACAACATCTCTTTTCTTTCCTCTCACCATGCAGTCCAGCCATCGACCACTCAGATTCCAGATTTATCTTCTCAAAGCACTGTTTTTGGTTTGGTTTGGTCTGGTTTTTTAATATCATGACCTGGCTCGAAAATTGTGGTCTGCTGGTCAAGAAACCACAGGGGCTCTCTCCCGTCTTATAAAACCAGTTCTAGACTCCTGCTTCAAGAGGCTACCTGCCCACCCTGCCTCCGGGTTTCCTCTCCTCAGAAGGCTGGTCTTTTCTGCAGAAAGGCCTATATCTCACCAGTATTAGATCCTGGGCTTTCTGCTCTCACTTGTCAGTGCATATTTCTCACTATCCTTGAAAGAAGAACCTATTTACCTCTCTACCACTTTTCTTCTTTAATAGACTATCAAAAATTTCATGTTCTCCCTAGAACCTTTTCTGTCCAACTCCAGCACAAACTTGTTTTTTCCTTTTTCTGACTTTTATAGCATCTCTCAGTCTCTGATTTTTTTTTTTTTTTTTTTTTTTGAGTTGGAGTCTCACTCTGTCGCCCAGACTGGAGTGCCGTGGCCGCTCCCGGCCACCGCAGCCTCGACCTGCTGGGCTCCGGCCATCCTTCCGCCTCAGCCTTCCGAGTAGCCGGAATTACAGCTGCACGCTACCACGCCCGGCTGATTTTTTGATTGATTGTAGAGATGAGGTCTCGCCTGCCCAGGCAGGTCTCGAACCCGCGGGCTCGGGCAATCCACTCACCTCAGCCTCCCAAAGGCGCGGGATGACAGGCTGAGCCGCCGAGCCCGGCTCAGTCTCTGATTATTTACATGTAGTATTGTTTTCTAATTTTCTCCATCCCGGACATGAGTCTTAATAGCTCAAACTCTAAATGGCTCAGAAACATGGGTTATGTCTCCTAGGTCCTCGCCAACCTGAATGGTTTACATTCTATGTTGTTTTCACCACATGGTAGCATAGGGTCCCCATGTAATAAAAACTGTGACTTGGTGTGTTGACTTGGCTTGACCTTAACCTTCTCTGCATCCTGAGCAATATATCTCTTCAGACATCCTCTGGCCCTTGCAGATAGGTCGAGAGGGACTTACCTGGGGTGATTTTCTTTCTGTGCTCTGTTAGGTGTCATCTTTAAAGTGTGACTTAATGAAATAGTTTCCAACTGGCAAAGATGAGTTGAGTATATTTCAGAGGATTAATTTAAGGATAGATTTCAAATATGTTACTCAAGATGAAATACTGGAACTTAAAATTCCTAGCTCTTGAGGTCTCTTGTGGGCTGATTAATGACTGTGTTTCCTAATGATTACTTAGTGTTAGCTCATGATTAATTAGTTGATAGTTGCATTTAAGTCATAGAGGTCTTACAACTTGTTAAAACACTCGTATTTATTTTACACCAACTTCAGTCAACTTGGTGAAGTTAGTGGCCAAGCCTGCTTACCAGGAAATTCACACCCCTCCTCATAAGCAGCTTACATTTCGAATTGACTGAGTATCAGTGTGTCCCACTTGTAAGAAAGGATCCCACTTAAGTGCAAGTCGGCATTCTAAGCATTGCCCATCTCCCCCTGAAGCCATCCAAGGGGACTCAAATTGAGGACACACAGGAGCTACACTGAGCTTCTCCCCTGGGAATAGCACCGGTGGTCAGCGTGCTGTTGAGATTTGGTCAGAGTGATCAATTTCTGACTAAGATGAGTAAAGGGTGAAGAGGAGAGATAGGAGTCTCTGCCTAATGAGAGAATAAACTGACCCCAGGAAAGAGACAGCTGATCCTCTCTTGGGAGAGGCAGCATAGCTAGGTGGTGACAATCTTGAGCTCTGGGCCTGGCCCTCTGGGATGCTTCCGGAGTCCCACTGCTTACGGGCCCTGCCACCCTGGGCTGGGTGTTTTTTTGAATCTTCCATTTCCACCTCTGTCCAGTAGAAGTAAAAATTGTACCTCACCACAGGGTGTCTGTGAGGGTGGATGACAGGGAGAGAAGATGGGAGGGTGATGGTGAACTTCGAGTCATTCACTGCATGTCTGAGGAGAGATGGTGCCACGGGGAGGGTGACTTCGTGGAACACGGCTCTTCTTACTGAGACCCAGATGGGGGTGTGGATGGAGGTAAGGGTAACCCAGCCCCGTCACAGCTCCATATCCCATCCCTGAGCTGCATGCTCCATCTTCCACTGCTGACCCGTAGCCCTCCCTGCTGTAGATGCCCAGTGGAGGCCTGCAGGCACGGGGTGGTGTCGGCAGTCGAGTCTGCTGGCTCCAGCAGACAGCAGACAGTGAGCCATGCTGAACAGGAGCCCCCGGAGACCAAGGCAGTGCCACAGACATCTTCAGGCCAACTCGCACGGGCTCAGGCCCTCCAACGCCTCAGTCCTCCGCAAATGATGTGTCCCTGCTCTCTGTCCAGTCCCGTTTCATACAGGAACTGTCTCTGACCCCGGGAAACATGAGTTTAGGGATTTAGAAGGGCTTTCAGCCACAGCTGCTTGGCTTGCAGAGTTCATTGGCTTTGCTGGGGTTTTCTCTTTTTAAAAATAAACTTCCTTCTGAAACGCCGTTAAAGGTGGGGCCACGTAACTGGGATCTCCAGGGGAGATTCTGTGGGTCCCTCCCTCCCCATGTTTGCTGCCCACCCCCCTTCATCAGCAGAGTCATGACCTTTCCCTCCCCTTTTCATCAAGTTGCCCAAGCCTCAGGTGGCTCCTTCCTCATCGTCCTCAAGCTCTCAGGAGGACCACAGCAACACCATCACACAGGTCCTGGGGGATGGTGACCCAGGGCCAGGGGAAGAGAGGTCTTGGGGGACCCCCCATTGGCCCAAGTTCCAAGGCAGCCTGTGAACAGTAGGAAGATGGGTTGGATTTATATCAGGGAATCCACTTCAATACTTGGGAGATAATCCTTAATTAATCGGTGGATTAATCAAGCTCAACAGTCACTTCTCTCTGCCTCACAAAGATGCTCTCAGATAGTTGAAAGGAGAATGACTAATAGAACTGTGGAAATGTCACCACCAGCACCCAAAATAAAGTAGCTGTAACGTGTGGAGCAAGTATACAACATTTTGGTAGGGTTTTTTAACACACAGTATTAAGATCAGGCATATTAGCCAGTCACAGTGGCTCACGCCTGTAATCCCAGCACTTTGGGAGATGGAGGTGTGTGTATTGCCTAAGCCTGGGGGTTGGAGACCAGCCTGGGCAACTTGGTGAGACCTCGTCTTTACAATAAATCAAAACATTAACCAGGCATGGTGGCACATGCCTATGGTTCCAGCTACTTGGAAAGCTGAGGTGGGAGGATTGCCTGAGCCCTGTAAGTCAAGGCTCTGGTGGCCACGAGTATGCAATTTCACTCCAGCCTGGGCAACAGCATGAGACTCCAATTTAAAAAAAAAAATCAGGCATATCAATGTGGAAGTCAGGACACT